TTGTTTTTTGCAGTGAGATCTTGGTAATTTTACTTAAAGCCCCCCTCCAGTGTATTTTGACATTTGAGGAGTCACTTCCTTACAATGTTGATTACCCACATAGTTGGTGAAATATTTTTTGACAAATAGCTTAATTTTGTGCTCAAAGTTGCAAAAGTTGTTTAGTTGTTAAAACAGGGTTGTGACATATGACAATAGTAATTCCATAAGTGATACGTAATTCTCCAAGTTTGCGCAGGCGCACTGTCATGCCTTGTTAAAAAACTGTGTAAAAAAGTCAGAGCATCAAACATATAAACATCGTTGTGAGCTAGCTAACCAAATTATCATGTAATTTACTTAGAACTTACAGTAGGTATGTCTCTCTGTGTCTGATTGTTGGTTTGTCTTTCTAGCTAAGTTAACTAACTTGTAGTTAGCCAGACAGAGGTTCTTCATTTTATTTTTTAGTTTCCTCCTCTTGGTTTAGTGTGCTGTTCATTTTCATTATGGCATTTGTGCGTGCGGTGTTGGAGGACAGATGACAGAAAACGCGTTGCACTTTCATCTGCCACTTTCTTATATACAGTCTGCAACATGCATTTTACTGACGCCCGTTTTACCAATGCATCGGCAGAGGCAATGGTATCAGAAGTCTTTACATACAGTTCAACAGAGTAATAGACCCCCCACACCCCCGTGGTAAAGTAAGCGCACCATAAAACGTAGTGGGAGTTATCATGTGCAGTGCGTGACAAGACCATCAACTGTATGATTGATAACAGCTGACCCTATTAACCACACCCCCATTCTCTGTTTGAGAAAGTACGTTCACCAAAAACGGCAGTTAAAACTGGCTGGAGGGTGCTTTAAGTAAAAGATCCAAAAACTTCCACCACTGGGCCAGGCCCATAGTGGAATAAGCTTATTGGAAAAATGAATGCTGTCCAGGCTATGACACATATGTTTTTGTCATTACTACATCTATGGAAATTTCTGAAATTTGCCTCCATATGGCAACATGTCATGTGGGCTTTTTGCTGATTTTAGGTCTGGACTCAACATTTACAGATGCATCTTTGGAGCCAAAAGCCCCAACAAAGAGAACAGCTAAATGTTAGCAGGATAAGCCTCCCGGAAAATAGTCTTGCAGTTTCTTTTAACTTTCTTTCTTGTCATGTGTTTCCAGAAGCTACAAAGCTATTATCCCTCCATGGATGCTTGCTAGCATGAGAGCTGCTAAGCATTCCCAGTGACATCACCCCAGAGCCTGTGGGTTTGAGGGGGCCGCCGAATGTTTGACAGAATTCCTGAGTGAATTCCAGAACTCAACAGCGATGTTAGGAGACCCTGCTGTGAGAAATGCAGTCTCATTCAGACAAATCCTGCATCTTACTTTTTAAAAAGGTTTTCAAAGGCTTTCACTTTACTTTTCTGGGTTTGCTACAAGAAAAGGTTGTGAAACAGTGTGTGGGTAAAACTATTTAACCCACATGCATTTAATAACTTCTTAACGACAGATAATTTGATGACAGTGACGCAGTTTGTGGCTCAAGGGTAAGAGAGGTGCGTTTTTATCTGTTTGCAGTGGTCTGGTGCAGTGCCTCTACATGTTTTGTCATGTCTTTTTCTTTCTTTACTCACCCCCCATTCTGTCAGAGGTCAGGTAGTAATAGGAAACAGTGTTATTTGTTTTTACAGCTGGTTCATTACATTAATGACCTGCTCGACTCTAGTCACTGACATTACCTAACTCCAGAGACATAGCACTGGATAATGAACTTAAACTTGGTTTACTCACCAGTGTATTTGCAGATAGGCTGACGTTATAGGCTGACGTAAATGGCTGTCCAAGAATAGTTGCACATCTTTATTTAACAGAAGTTTAAACACAATCACTGCAAGTGTGATGATTTTTCTGCTACTGAAATGCAAAAAAAATCAACTTATTAAAGACTGGAAACAAAATGTGTTTGGCTGATGCAGCTAAGTGAAATCTGCCTCTGATTTATGTGGCAAAATATTCCCACTGTACTATAACTTGTGTTGCGGATGGAGAGGGGAGTGGCGTGTTGAATTTAGGGAGAGAGAAATTACATCCTTACATAATGGGATGGAAAAAACAAGTGTAGTTGCAGACTCAGTTGGACCATGGTGCCTAGCAGGAGCAAAAATCGTTTTGGAGAAGTGTGTGTCAATGTTTGCTCCACTTTGGGCAGAGAATGTTTGTGGAATAACAGAATCTTGACTGGCAAATACAGTTTTATTTCTTTAGGACTCTATTAACTCTATTAATGTGGCAGGTCATGCTTGAGTTGTCATCTTCTCCTTCGAAACCTGGGAAGCCAACAGGGATACAGAGGGGTGAGAGAGAGAGAGAGAGAGAGAGAGAGAAAGAGGACCGATCCAAACAACAAAGGAATGCCCTCCATCAGTTGAAGCTGCTGTTCTCAGCTCTTCCACTTGCCTGCCGTGGTATGTGTAATTACTCTACAATTAAAGTGCCTGTGCGTCTCTGTGTGTTGGTGTGTGTGCGCCTCGCAGTGCTTGGTGACCACACTCATCCATGTCAACAATGTGGCCTTAACAGAACAGGCAATTTTTACACAAGTGACTCAGGGAGTGAAGGGCAGAGTTGTTATTAAAAGAAAGCGTTCCAGTTAGATAATACTGCTGCAGAAGGAAAGAAACAGCTGTTCAGATAACTCTCTCTGCCTCCTCCATTTTCTATTATTCCAACTGAAAGATCTCTTTCGTTCTTCTCCGCTCTCTAACTGCCTCTGCTTTCTAAATACCTTTCGTCTTCTTCCTCCGTCTCTCTCTCCTCCTCTCTTTCCTTACTCTGACCACAGGAATGCAGGACGACTGTCGCCGCAGTACTGTCTATGTCATGCATAGTAATCACCAGGCCCACAAGGCACACACACAAACACCGTAACACACATTGACGCAGATACACACACAAAACACTTCAGACAAAAAAATTCTTTGGCCATTTCATTTCTTCATGTAGTACACAGGGTCTGTTTTCTTTTTATTTCTATTTCTGCATGTGTAGTTAAAAAATGGAAGTGAAAAAATACTATAAACAAAAACATTTATAGATGTGTATACAGTATCTCACAAAAGTGAGTACACCCCACACATTTTTGTAAATATTATATATATATTATTATTATTATATCTTTTCATGTGACAGCACTGAAGAAATGACATTTAGCTACAATGTAAAATAGTGAGTGTACAGCTTGTATAACAGTGTAAATTTGCTGTCCCCTCAAAATAATACATCACCCAGCTATTTATGTTGGCAACAAAAGTGAGTACACCCCTAAGTGAAAATGTCCAAATTGGGCCCAAAGTGTCAATATTTTGTGTGGCCACCATTATTTACCAGCACTGCCATAATCCTCTTGGGGATGGAGTTCACCAGAGCTTCACAGGTTGCCACTGAAGTCCTCTTCCACTCCTCCACAACGACATCAGCTGGTGGATGTCAGAGACTTTGCGCTCCTCCACCTTCTATTTGAGGATGCCCCACAATTGCTCAATAGGGTTTAGGTCTGGAGACATGCTTGGCCAGTCCATCACCTTTACCCTCACTGCAAGGCAGTGGTCGTCTTGGAGGTGTGTTTTGGGTCGTTATCATGTTTGAATATTGTACTGTGTCTCTGAAGGGAGGGGATCATGCTCTGGTTCAGTATGTCGTTCAGTATGTATGTTGGCATTCACGGTTCCCTCAGTGAACTGTAGCTCCCCAGTGCCGGCAGCACTCATGCAGACCCAGAACATGACAATCCCACCACCATGCTTGACTGTAGGCAAGACACACTTGTCTTTGTACTCTTCACCTGGTTGCCGCCGAACACACTTGACACCATCTGAGCCATATAAATTTATCTTGGTTTCATCTGACCACATGACATGATTCCAGTAACCCATGTCCATAGCCTAGGCCATCTTTATGTAGAGCAACCATTCTTTTTTTTCAGATCCTCAGAGAGTTCTTTGTCATGAGGTGCCATGTTGAACTTCCAGTGACCAGTATGAGGGAGTGTGAAAGATATAACACCAAATTTCACACTCGTGCTCCCCAGTCACACCTGAGACCTTGTAACAATAACGTGTCACATGACACCGGGGAGGGAAAATGGAGAAGTGGGCCCAATTTGGCCATTTTCACTTAGGGATGTACTCACTTTTGTTGCTAGCCGTTTATACATTAATGGCTAAGTGACGTGTTATTTTGAGGGGACAGCAAATTTACACTATATACAAGCTGTACACTCACTACTGTACATTGTTACAAAGTGTCTTTTCTTCAGTGTTGTCACATGAAAAGATATAATCAAATATTCACAAAAATGTGAGGGGTGTACTCACTCTTGTGAGATACTGTATGTGTGGATACACGTGTTTAATGTGAATTCTGGCACAGGTTCCACACATATTTGGCTTTCCTTCTACAATTCCCCCCCAAAAGGTGATACTATTTGCATCTCTAGTTAAACTATACCGTCCAAATATAAGTACTGAGACAGTGTTGGCACATTGGGCTCCCCTTTCACAATGCGTGACTTTAACATAGAAACAAAAATACTCAAAAAAACTGCAGCCCATACTTTCCCCTTCCCCTTCATTTCAATATAAGAAAAAGTACATAATTAAAAACCCAACTTTAGCTCAATTATTATTTGCAATTATTAGTGAAATGCAAAGTAAACTAATTCCATTGCCATTGTGCCGAGCGTTTAACAAAATATTTCAGTAGTCTTAGTAGTCTGTAAACCAAATATATGTCCCAATCACTTTTCATTCAAGTACCTAGTATGATGTCGGTACCTGAAACACTTACAGTGCTTAAATACATACAGTGTTAAAAAGTGTGTGATCCTTGATTACACTACAATTTGAAACAAAATCTGTGAAAAAAGCACAAAGCAAAAGGATGGACACATGTCCAGTTTTCCCCCAAAAGGGAATGTAGGAAAAGAAATTTAGAAATGAAGCCAGAGCTGCGATATGACTGATTTGGTCAACCCACTGGGTATGCCCTGTGTTCTGTGATCTGAGCTCCAGATTCTTTCCCTCTTTTGGACATTTTGAATGATACTGGGGCTGAGAGAGTCAGCTGCAACCAAAACTGTTTTACGTCCTATGTATCTTACTGCTGGAGGAAGTGGAGGAAGCCTTATCAGCTAAAATAGAAATAGAAATAGTTATTTGCTAGATAACAATCAAATTTTCTTATTAAAGTCACTAATTTAATCAAATACATTATTATTAAAAACTAACTTCATAGAGTGATTTTACAAACCAAGTCCCAGGACTCCAGCATTATGCATGAAATATTATCCAACAATGGTGGAAGAATCTGCAATCCGACTTCCAGCCTCCGTCCCACTGTGGGTTAGCACACATTTGTCCTGTTGTGCAAACATGTGTTATCTTGGTTTGCAGTCCTGCTCAGACAACAGCAGGTTGTTGAGTTTGATTACAATGTTGGCAAAGTCAGTGAGCTCCACAAAGTCAGAGGTGATGATGTTGACCCCGTCCACCCCTGGCCTCTGAGCCTCAACCCAGGACATGATGGCGGGCAGGTTTCTGGAGCCACAAAAGAAGAACCATTATATTAGAAGGCAAACAACTGCACCAATTTTTGTGTTACAGCAAATATCCTGTCAGTTGAATTTCAATTTAAACTGATTCCCGGACCTTGCAAGCATGCTCTGAATATCCAGGGCCAAGTTTCTGTCTCTGTATGTTTTATAGTTATGGCTATAACGTTGCCAAACTTTAATCAGTTGTTCCTTAGCTGAATGTCTAGAAAATTTGTTGATAAGGGTTTGAGATAAATTGTGGGAGAAAAAAAGTGGGAGAAACTGTACATGGTGGAAAAAAACGTTAAAGGGAGTTATGTTTGTATCTGTGTCTGTTAGTAAGAGTCTACTTTGCTACTATTGTTCCAATGCCATTGCTTTGCATTCAAACACTTTCTGTTTTGGTTCCTGGCTGGCCAAAACGCACACACACACAAACGCCATGACTCTGTAGCTGTATCACTTCTAACACCCTTAAATTCTCCACTATGCTTGAGCCGCCAGCAGAACAAAACCAGGAAGTCAGAATGTTTATCAAGCAGTGATAAACAATCCCATTTCCTTGGAAGTACAAAATTAGGCCACCTCCTGTCTCGCCACAGCGTTCAGGAGTGTTATATACCCCAGCACCAGTGGCTGTTTCTCTCACATGTAGGGTATGGTGGGTATGTACTCTAAGTCAGGATTTCCCCTGTCATTTCCACTTATACTTGGCTCAGCAAGCTAGATGACTGCTAAAGTTTGTGCAAATAATTTAGTCCTTCCTTAGGAAATAAGATCTCTTATCTGAGAGATGAAATGTGTTTCTATTTGATCTTCTATAGTTTGGAAATGGATTAGTAGGATTATAGCTTATCCTCCTATAGTGAATTATATACTGAAATAAACCAGTGAAATGACTATTGATGATGAATATTGTAACAGATAAGCCAAAAATAAAGATGCTTAGAGTTTTTATAGAGGTATAGTCGATCTGTTATGTTATGCAGAAGAAAAACAGTCATCCACACATCGTTGTAGAGAGTATGAGGTCTTAGAGGCATAACTTGTGTTATTAATTTTGTCACACAACGGTCAGCATTGTAAAGTGATATCATGTCACGTCACTATGGGCTTTATTTAAATGTAATCGTGCTAATTCAACGACAAGTGAAAAATTGTATGTAGTATAGCTGCAACTAAGGTGCAAAAGAGCTGGCTTAAGTGGAATATAAATCGGAGGGTGCAGTGATTATTCTACACTCTCAGCCAGTAACATTATTGGTCTCATTCCTGAGCCAATCACAGGGAAGCTTGACAACAATAGCTCAAAATATTTTCTTCTTTCAGGGGTCTTTGCAATGTTGACAAACCTCTTTTTTGCTGGCAATTACAACATTTACTGCCCTCTACTGGCCACAGATTAAAGTACTGTAAACACATGGAGATGAGCATAAGAGAAGAGGGCAAGGTTCTAAAGATGCATGAGCAGATACACACTCACGCACAGGCTGGATTCCTAAATCTTAGTGTTTCAAAGCAAGTTATATTTTAAAGTGATGTGATCGAAACCACCAAATCATCACTACGAGATCACAGACTAGATCAGAATAGATCCAGGTCCTTTAGTCTGTTTTCTCTGTTAAAATAAAGTTATAATATAATAAAATATCCACAATATTCCACCACACCTCCCCGAGACACAGCCTCCTAAAAACACCCAACTTTGTCACTGACCTCTCCACCAGGTAGGTGCGTAGCCCCCAGACCAAGCCCTTGGCCACGGTGTTAACCCTGGGTGTGAGGATGGCCTGAGACACGTGGAAGGAGCCCTGCTTGGCTCTTTCCTTCAGTGTAGTTTCCAGGAACTAGACAGGAGAATGTCAAACACAACCAATCTAATTTAAGTTACCCCATAATTAGAGACATAGCTTGTGTAATTTAATGTCTCAAAAGGAAAAAATAAATAAACTTTAAAATACTGAGGAAATAAACAGGGAGCAGGTGTGCTGTTGAGTTTAGCATGGAAAGAGGAAGATGAAGAGGAAAGGAGTTGAAGGAGGAGAGGAAACAAAATGCAGTGGTGAACTTAAGAGTTAAATTTTCTATTATAACAAAGAAAGTCAAAGGAATGATAAACTGCTTATTTCTTTAGGTAGAATAAAAATAGTGAATCGATATCTGTATTGATTTTGCACTTAATGAAATAAAATAAACGTGTATACTGATAGGCCTCTGTGCTGGTGAGTCGTTCTCTCAGCCTGGATGTTGTTTTCTGACCTGTATGAGCTTGTTGGGCTGGGTGGTGTTTGCCCATGGAGCAGGGATCTTGTTGCCAGGCCACATGACAGAGATGCCCTGTCCTGATGGATGGTGGTAGAAAACAAGCACCTGAGGGGAAAGATCAGAATCAGAATTGATGCCAAAAATGATGATGAGTAGATACCTTTAAAAGGCCACACAAATGCTGCTCAAATTACATTAATGTTGTTAATGAGGAAAAAGTCCCTTGTTAAAGTAAATATCAGGTCATGAGAATGATTTTAGCCCAGTATTTGCAGTAATATATACACATTTTTACAGTGTTGTATAATTGGAAACTCAGCTGTACTTTATGTGTACTTGACAGAAAACTCATCTTGTCTTTTCCAATGCCACTTAGAACAAGAAAGATAGTTATAGGTTGCCCTTCACAGCTGGTAATTCAGCAGATCTCTCCTCTTCCACTCTTACTCTTTACTGTTCCTCCCCTGTTTGCTCTGCACTCCCTCTCTCCCCTTCCCCTTTGCCAACTAAGCCAGTCACAGATTAGGGTCATAGGAACAGGAGTTCAGCTGATAGTATTTGAATGACACACAGACATGCACTTAGAACCATGCAGACATAACATTAAGATGCACATGGAGCTTGTCATGTCATATATGTCCACAATGTGTATGTATTAAAGTAGGATGAAGAAAGAACTAAACTAAGAGTAAGTGGGAGATGAGGAAATCAAGGAGTGATAGGAAATGTGAAAGAATGGTGGAGATTGAAAAGCGGGTGGGGTTAGTTTGAGATAAGTGGAGCAAAGAGGGAGACATGTAGGGAAGCTGGAGGAGGCAGAGAAATGGAAAGAGAGTGTGAAGAAAGGATCAAAGCTAAATACCATGAAAGAAGGATCGGTGGAACAAGCGTTAATGGGATGACGCTCACCACTAATTCCTGTCCAGCAGAGTCACAGGTGGCAGGGATTACCTTACACAGGGGTTGAGTGGGCCGTCCAATAAACGCACACCTTTTACTTGTACATGTATATGTATGTGCACATATGTGGCATGCATTCCCTCACATATGCAGGTGCACATAAACACAATCAGTAGAGTACCTTTAAGTGCCTAGATGCTGATGCACATCTTCCATCTCCTACACTAGACTTGCTAGCTCAGATGGAAAGAGATGAAAATAGCTTTCTATGTTACGATTAATAAAATTTAAATGGGCTGAGTTCACTGGTGTTCCAATACAAAAAGACCTTAAGCAATGCTGCACGTCCATTTTCACTGATGCATCCTGATCTCACCTGGTATTTCTTTTCCCAGAGGTAGTCCAGAGTGATGCTCTCCACTGCACAGTGTTTACAAAGCTTGCTGCCAAACACTTCCTGGAGCATGTTGATGAGGTACACATGATGCTCTGCGTCCATCTCATAGTAGTGGTTAAAGTCTAGTAACACTACCTAAATCAATAAAACATCAAAATAACCAGTCAGTAGGTCAAATCTATAGATCTATGGTCATGCTTTTGTATCTGTGCAAAATCCAATTAAAAGTGCTTCTCACCTCTTTCCTGTGCCTGCTTAAGAAGGAGTTAATTTCTAACAAGCCATCCCGCACCTTGTGGGAGTGAGTGAAAGGATGGATATCACTATCAACTATACAGGCTTAATATTTTACAGTCCATCTCATGACACACTACTTGTAGCAAAACACTGTGTCATGTATGGGACGAGCACATGTCCGCATGACCCATTTCAGGAGAGGGATGTTTACAACTAAACTCGCAACCTTGGATCCCTGTTCCTGGATATCAGTCCCACTACTAACAACATCAGCTGGAAACTAGAACAAAATGAGTGACAGCATTACTGCTCATGCTGTTAAATGAGACAAAACAAAGGAGAATCGCATGAATAAGCTGAACCATTTGCAGCAATATTCAAATGTGATCATTAGAGGACTGGGGCCATCTGATCAAGAAACTTATTACACTATTGGAATGTGACAGATTTTAGGGGTTAAACACAATAAGAAAGCACGAGTAGGCAGGCACAGTAGCCACAATGATAAGCATTTAAATGTCAGTAAACTACACCACTGCTCACCTTGTGGCCAAACAGGCCATGGATAAAGTAGATCTCATTTCCAGGCTCCCCTGGTTTGGAGGAGACCCTGAGATCAAAGTAGCGGATTCCTGCATCCAGCTGCTCTCTAAATGTCAGATTCTAGGAATACAGACATGATATATTACAATATTACAACTGGCTACAAAACCCAACACATCTGTTATGCTGTAAAATGAACTGACTTTCAAAATCTGCCCAGAATATGTCACTTTATATGTCAACTGTAAGATGCCAGTCTCCCCATATGGTTGGATACCTGGGTCATGGACCACTTCACCATGACTTTCTTGGCTAAGACGCTGAACATGGTGGCCAGGTATTGCACAAATGCCTTCTGATCGGGGCCCACCGGGGCATGCACGTCCACCCAGAAGGTAAAAGAATCGTGAGACCCTGGAAGAGGGATGATTACAAAATCGAAAGGAAAACTGAACAAAAACATAAAAACAGATGATGTAGCATAGGTAAAGTACAAAAATACATTGACAGAAGAAGGAATGTAAAAGAGGAGAAGGGGAGAAGGGAAGAACAAAGGGTCAGTGTAAAAAGCAGATTAAGATGCAGCAGAAATCAACAGAAAATTAAAGGATGAAGCTAGAGCTGTATGAAAGAAAGTGATAAAGGTGGAATGCTATTTTTTTTTTTTTTTTTAGCATACATAGATATGACTTGGTTACTTCCACATAGCTTTGTTGGCATCCTTTCAAACTTCACAGTGGTATAAATCCAGGTGTGATGGACAGATGGATACGCAGAGGAGAGACCCCAAACATCTTTACGCACGACGCGGCTCACCTGGCACGGCGAGGTGTTTGAGGGGCATGGCACTGAGCTTGGAGGGGAGCGAACCCATCCAGTCGGCATTGACATTGCCGATCCCGGCAGGTCGGGTCTTCATGTCAGAAACGGCCCGTCAACAAAACCCTCTCAGGAAACCGCTCTCTGGTGCAGATGCAACCTCTGCGACGTATTCCCGTGCGCTCCCGACAGGTAAAAACTACCGTAGACCATCTTGTAAATGACACTGTTAATCATACATATGCCACCGGTTCAAAACGCATTTTCGACTCGCAACCAGTTCGAGTGTATGAATTGTGACCCGTTCCCTTTACCGGTAAGCAAACGCACGCGCTGTGTTCCAACCGGCGAACCGGGCATCCATTGACAAGACCGGCGGAGGACTAACGACCGAGATAATCCTCTTAGAGCACAATTCCACTCGTTATCTCCCCTTCTCTTGCTTCTTGGCTTAACCTGTGTGTGTGAAGACCATTACCCCGTGAACACACGCAAACACACTAAACATAGCCTACAGAAAAGCAACAGATGGGAAAGTTGTCCTGATTGTGGGCTAAGTTTTTTTTTGTGGCCTAATTTTTTTGTGGTTCAGATTCAGCAAACCGTGATGATAGGCTCATAAATCATTGATCAGTTCATATCTGATTTGTGACCGCCGAGGTGATGGGGATGACATACCTAACACTCAGTGTTTCTACATTAGGGCTGACATCAAAACCTCTGCGTGTTCAGGTGTTGATATTTTATTCTGTTAATGAATTCATAACTTTTATTGGGCCTGATGAAAATGCCATGCAGGTCTAATTATTAGCTTACAGATCTACAAAGAATTATATTTAAATAGTCAATTACCTTTTTTAAACTAGCCTACGAGAGATGTGTTTGCGGATTCACAGCTGTTTATTGGCAATTTTGAAAAACCACAGCCCCACTGCTCCCTCTAGTGGTGCAGAACTTGAACTGCCACTGTGTCCAGAGAGGTGGTGAAGTAAAGAGCTCACACTCAGTCACTGTTTTTTGGTCACCCTAAAATTCGTGCTGTGAATTACCTGGAAAACAAGCGACGCACACACGCCGACGTTGACATCTTTCTGTTTAAGCAGCTATGTTTTTGGAACAAATTAATCATCTTTGTCATTTTGGGTCTGAAACCTGCTGCACTTAAATAGCACTATGCTTTATTAAAAAATCTCATGTAGAGATGGTTTGTGTAGTTTGAATAGGCTACTTTTGTCAGTCCCGGGGTGGAAGATATCATTTCAACCTCAATTCTTCCGCAGTCCCACTCACCGGTCCCAAGGACCACAAGTCCCACAAAGCATTGGGCCCGCACGCGCTGCTCATCACCTGGCAACTCAAACAAGCGTCGCGTTTGTGTGTACGTTTCCATGTGGAGCTGTCACACGCACACACACGCACCTTTTATCGTTAGAGCTCCTTGTATTTTTATCTGAAGAAACGTCGTGCTATCAGCAGGCCCAGACAACGGCCCAGGAGAGGAACTACACCCATGAATGGTGAGTTTAAAACTATAAGAGAAAGAAGAAAATGGCGAAACAGAGAAATAGGCCTGAACAAAGATGGTCGAGGAAGTGAGCTGTCAAAGCGGACATGTCAACAAGCCTTTCTCTATGTGTTTTTTCTGATGTTATATTATTTCTTAGAGTTAGGCTTTATACTGATGTATTTGTTTTATGGATAGTTGATTGTGTGTAGCCAGCAGACAGCAGAGTAACCTACGGGAAGCAAAGTACAATTTTATTTTTACCAAATAATCACATTTTCAGTCACAAACTTAACTTGGGCTACTCTGTTTCTATTCCATGCCAGGTTAGTGTCCACGTGTGTTTTCATTATAATTGACCTTGAATAGCTTCCTAATGTCATGTGGCCTGGATACATCTTAATTCCCTTTAAATCCCTCCACAGCAGACTGCCATATGTGAAAGCTGAGTGCTGCCTGGCCGCTCCACTTGTCCTATTCCTTATTGTTTCAGTGAGAACTGCATATCAAGCAGAGCTTTGTTTAGAGAAAAAAAAATCTACTTTGCAGTGGAAAAAAACATAAATTGAAAAGTCTCAATACAGTGGGCAAAAAGGTGGGCGAATATTTAAATATTTATATATTTGTCCTGGCACTGACAGAGCTAAATCTAGTTTGGACATTCTCTTTGGATGGGAGTTCCTGGCCCCATTCAATGAAATGAACACTAATCTCATTTTGTTTCACTGCCCCTGGCTTACCTGTAACTGTACCTCCTTTAACCTACAGTAAACGGAGCAGGCTAATACTCAAGACAGGTTCTACTTGCCCACCACACTTTCATGAAAATAGTCAAAACAATTGAAATCCTTATGTGCTAATGCTCATAATGTGTGTATGCATTTCATTATTGCCAACCAGTCCATTAACCTTTGTTTATCTAAAACATACTTGGTTTTCCTTGATGTTTTACCATACTTATTATGTCAGAATATGCAGGTCTTACAGTTGGGCAATTGCTGTTTTACCGTCAGCACCTGTGATTACTGCCTTGCTCAAGACAAAATTTATGTCCGCTAAGAAACTTTTTCTAGCTTTTCTAGTTTTCTATAACTTTTTGGTCACAACCCTGCTTTTCTAACCTCTCACCATTAGAAAAGGTTCTACAAAATAACAATCGAGCCATTTAATGAATGATTTTATAGTTGGAGGATAATTCAAATAGCCAAGGCAGCAATTGTTTTGTGGAATCAGGGAATAGTTATTGCTTTGCTTTTATCTATAAATGTCTGAATTTGCTATTAGCAAGGAATGCAGTGCCGCCATGTCCTAAAAACTAGTTTGGTGCCACTAAAAGCTTAGACTTTCTCTGGGTCTTCTGCTTGAGAAACATGTAGCAGACAACCTGACATGAATCCTCCATGCAAAAGGATAAACTAGGCTTAAAAGGTTTGAGGGTTTACCTTATTATCTCTAAGGTATTAGAAATCAGGCTGACGTGACAACATGTGGATATTATACAGTTGCATTAAAGTAAGGAAAACATTAAGGGCAATGTGTTGCAACTTAAAATAGGACTTTTAGGAAAATAAAATATTTCAGTGTTACCAAAATCTGACAATTGGCAGATCATACAGCATAACAGTGTTAGTTTCCTTTGTTATCCTTTCGGAAACCATTTGTGTTTGTGGCCACCGTGTGTGGCCAGTAGCGTCAATCAAATCCTCTTGTCAGGCAGGGTGCTTGGGGATAGTAGTGGATGCCGGTAAGCATGATGGTGATGTAACATCCTATTTACATCCTTGTTCGCCTAATCTGCCTAGGACTGGCTGTGTCATCTCCCTTGGGTGGTCATGTTGGAGCCTCCCACTAGTGAGACACACACCTAAGCCACCTCACTGAGGGAAAAAGTGCTCCCTGCTTTTCTTTGTCCTCAGATCTCTTAAAAATCCTGTTCGGTGGTACTGGGTAGCTAACTCCCGGGTGATTTATTGTATTTCTGGTTGATTGATATGTATCTGCTGCTGCTGATATTTATCTCTTTACTGCCACTGAAGGATTGCACGGTGTCATCTGTTGGCTGACCTATATCACCAGGATCCAACCTTTCTAACAACGGATCAGTTACTGCAAGATGAGTCTTGAACTTCAAGAATTGGTGAGCAATACAACATACTGGCCAGCTGAAAATCCTTCCTCCTGGAATAAGAACAATTGAACTCTTCTAGAGAAGAGGCCGGTGAAACAAAGAGATTTCTTCAGCAGGGGAGGACAGGAAATAGGACAGACATTTGATCAATGATTTAGCACTGTGTTTCCACAACTTCTTTTATAAATTAGGAAAGTTAACAGGCTGATGAAACCGTCTTGAGAGATGATGAATCGCTACACCACCCTGAAGCAGCTGGGAGATGGCACCTACGGCAGCGTGCTGATGGGGAGAAGCAATGAGACTGGAGAACTGGTGGCTATCAAGAGGTGAGCATGGTGATTTTTTTGCTTTTATTTGTCTAAAATATTTAAATATTACCCCTCTTTGCTAGAGTGTGGCAATATTCTGTATTCATATAATATTGTGGAAGTGTAAGAGTTTGGTTTTTATAATATTGTGATATAGTTCAAAATAGGTCCTCCATATTTAAAGGCTGCTTTACATTATAGTGAATTTTACAATTCAGTGAATCTACAGCACTAATAATCAACCCCATAATATCATCACATTATTGATGGCAATTAATTAAATAAAAAATACAGTGATATTTGAACTGGACAATATCACCAAACCACAGAGTTTCCATATACACATTAAGATAAGTGATTGCTCACTATAAATTAAAATGTATGCTAGATTTTAGGTAAGGTAAACTCTGGCCCACAGCCGTTTTAACTAATTTCTCAGTTTTACAAATCAGATGTACTTCAAAAATATTTTTAAAGCTAGAACTTTCATACTTAACGAATAATTCTTTGCCCTGGATAAATATCATGAAAAAGAATTCGTAGTGCAGTCTAGGTCTAAGGGCGACTGCCTTGCTATCACCAGGGCAAACATACTAGCGTACATGCCTTTGTTTCGGCAGCATGGCATCAGGACTCAATAATAAATGAGACAGCGGGGAGATGCGTCCATTGGTTGATCATTTGGTTACCATGCAAGACAATGCATGCGGTGACGGTGAAAGGCAGTGAAAGTAGAGGGAGTGTGTCAGGTTGCTGACATTGTGGAAGGGACGACCGAAATTGGCAGGTACCCAGACAGGAGGAAAAGATATCTGCACGTTCTGTAACTCTTACCTAACGCCAGTTGAGAAGTTGAGCTATAGTGAAGGTGTCGTGTACGACTGCTGGTGTGTGGTTTTAATGTACATAGCAAAACATACTGCAATAAAACCAACAACTTAATGCATCAACTGAGTCAAGGTGTGTTTTACATTTAGTAGTAGTTAAGCCTATACTTTATATCACTTTACAATCTACAGCTGGTTTTGTTCTTGGAATGAAATGAGCTGAAATTAGAGATACCTTAAAACAAGCTGAATTATTGATGGAAACGCAAATGAATTTTGTGAAGATAGTGACTCTACTGTTTGTTGGGTGTGATGTCTTCTCTTCTTTATTTGATCTGTCTGGTTTTGACTTTCTTCCACAGAATGAAGAGGAAGTTTTATTCGTGGGAAGAATGTATGAACCTAAGAGAGGTGAAGGTAAGGATGGCGATACTTTGGGCAGGTTATAGGAGACTTTGGGCAGCAGCATTTCCAGTAACTTGCAACAGCGAGAAATGTGAGGTGAAAATATATTCAAATTTATCTTGGGAAGATAAAGCTGTGTGATTTGAGCAATAATGCACAACAGATCCTCGAACAGTTTTGTCAGTTACAGTTGCCTGAAAAGGTTTAGAATTTTGTAAATCAACTATGAAACCCATTTTTTAAACTGTCACAGATTGAAATGAGGATCAGGAACAATAATTCATGTTGTGCACATTAGACAGTCTCTTCACTGTGCTACTTACAATGTGCCTTTTACAATATCATCAGTAACTATATCACTCTGAACTGTTTGACCGTATTCCTGCTCTCTGGCATTTTCTTATTCATAATTGTAAGCAGTTAATGCCATTGTAGAACAAATCTGTGCGATATCTCTATTACAAACCTGTTGCAACCAGGATTACATTACATGAGTACTTGCCTTTTCCTATGATTTGTCACACCAGTCACTGAAGAAGCTGAACCATGCGAATGTGGTGAAACTGAAGGAGGTGATCAGAGAGAACGATCACCTCTACTTTGTCTTTGAGTATATGAAGGAGAACCTCTACCAGCTTATGAAGGACAGGTAAGAAGAGAAACACCATGCTTTACAATGAAAATGTTTGTACAGGGTGTACAACATGGTGGTCTAGTTTGATGCCATTACCATAACACAACGTTTCCAAATATCAGCATCTAGTCAGGAGCTTCCCTACAGGATCAGGTACACAACTGTCACCAGGCTGATGCCTTCTCTGGGCGGAAGCCCTGATGTTTTTGCTAGTTTGGAAACCAGCACTTTGGTTGCACACACCTGAGTTTGCCATCTGTGAAAGGCAAAATGCAGACAAGTCAAAGAAGTCCCCGATGTTTCGCTAGTCAGTTTAAAGATTTAACATATATTTTTGTGTATACTTTGTTTTTCAACATACATTGACAGTTTGTGTATATATACTAAGACAAAATGATGTTTATGTAATGATGCTTACATTAGCAGGCTCATGAGAATTTTGTTGATTTTATGTTTACAGAAAAAGATTGTTCCCTGAGTCAGTGATAAGAAACATAAGCTTTCAGATTTTACAAGGCCTGTCATTTATTCACAAATATGGTAGGTGTGCCGCGTTTCCTTCATGCCTTGCAAGTGCATAAGAGTGGTTGCATACTGCAAGATGCACTGAATGGTTGTACAGCGTAAAAAGTAATCAGAAAACTATAAAATAAGGAAAATTGCAAGCAAAATCCTGAATTGCCAAATTGGTGATTAATTGATCAGAATCTTGGAGTCTGTGAACCATTCAAAACTGCTTTATCTAACTCATTGGTCTGCATTTCTATTATAAATGGATGTGTGGATGACTCATATGTAGGGATGCAAGTTGTAAAAATCTTTACACGTGCACACGTCCAACAAGTAGCCTGTGTTGCCATACAGTACGTGTCCATGCTTCCACACATCCAGAACACATGTGCTTTTTAGGATTTCTCTTTTCTTCTAACTGCTTTTCTCCCCCCCCCCTCCCCCCCCTCTTCCTTCCTTTTCTATCTCTTTGGTCTGCTGTTAGAGAGAACAAGATGTTCTCAGAGAATGAAATTAGGAACATCATGTTTCAAGTGCTGTCTGGGTTGGTTTTTGTACATAAGCATGGTAAGAGGCTTTACTCTATCATTCTTTACCTGCTCAAAAGTAGCATGACCCTTCAGTTGCTGGTTTGGGTGTGTTTGATGTTGTAAAAACCCTCAGATAGAACAGTATGTACAGTTTATGTAAAGTGCATATAGCATACCTGCTAGGTGTATTTGTGCTAAGATACATTTAAGAGAGAGGAGATTATATTTAATAATGGCCTGCATGCAGTGTGCATTGTTTTCTTTATGCTTAGAATGTGGATCATGTAATGTTACGGCTGTATGTAGAAATTGCCTACATTTTTTTGGAAATATAATGCCAGCTGGATTACTGTTTTTGACAAAGAATGTTAACTGTTAAATGCACTACCAAAGTTTTTATTCCCTTTAATATCTGCATGTGACAACTAAATTACTGCACATGTAAGATTAGGTAACTACAACAGCTTGGTTAAGGTTAGAGAAACAAAAATAATGTTGAATGCTCAGGCCTTGAATACACAGACATTTAAAACTGGGCCACAACTGTCGATATCAAATATACACCCATTCAGCAACTCCTCAGTTTTCCTTTTCTTGTGCTATCTGAATTTTACGTGGCATTTGCACTGAATATAAAATACCAATGTAGAACAGTTGCAGATGATTGTAATGTGGTCATTTGGCCATTTAGAGTCCCCATTAAAAGTTGGCATTTGCACTGTACACAGTGGCTCAGCTTGATATGAACCTTTCTGCAGGTTTCTTTCATCGAGACATGAAGCCAGAGAATCTGCTGTGCATGGGTCCAGAACTGATAAAAATAGCAGACTTTGGACTGGCCAGAGAGATCCGCTCCAAACCTCCTTACACAGACTATGTATCAACAAGATGGTGAGAGAACTGTCTAGGCATTAAAACCCATCTAAAACAAATCTCTGTTTTTATCTATGCTATACAGTACGAGTTATTGGCTGATTTATTTAAGTATATGTTCTCTGTCCAGGTACCGAGCTCCAGAGGTCCTGCTGAGGTCGTCTACCTACAGCTCTCCTATTGACCTGTGGGCTGTGGGCTGCATCATGGCTGAACTCTATACTCTCAGGCCTCTTTTCCCTGGGAACAGTGAAGTGGATGAGATCTTTAAGATCTGCCAAGTCCTAGGCACTGTCAAAAAGGTGAGAAGAAACTGAATCCAGAGACGTGGAAATGATTGGCCTTTCTTCAGGGTTTTAACTGGAATTACCCAAACTTGTTGGGTACTGAAATAAACTGAAATATTCCCAATGATATGATTAAGTTTATTTTGATTATAGTAGGCTACATTAGTTGGCCAGGAGCATTGTTCCTCTCTCTGTGGTGCAAAGCAGCTTAAGTGTGCTCCATGCTGAACAGGTTTACCACTTCATTTTCAAAGGCTTTCCCCAAATCCATTCCTATTTACTCTGATTGCTAAGCAGAGCGGTCAGAGCGCATTTTTGGTCTGACCTGGTCAGGAACTGAGTCAATAACCTCAACCAGAAGGGCAGGCATTCAGTGCCACTGATGTATACTGTAGAGTTGTGGGTTTATGTAAACATGCAAATGTTACATCTTGCTTTTAGAAACATCTTTAGTGAACTGGCATGGATTCTAAAAGGTTTTAAAAAAAGATATTCTCTACTACTCTTCCCTTAGACGGACTGGCCAGAGGGCTATCAACTAGCTTCTGCTATGAACTTTCGCTTCCCCCAGTGTGTGCCGACCCACCTAAAGACCCTCATCCCTAATGCCAGCAATGAGGCTATCGCCCTGATGAAGGACATGCTGCAGTGGGACCCCAAAAAAAGACCCACTGCTGTACAGGTAGGCAAGACTGAACCTCAAGGACGAGTCTAAAGAGCTGGTGGTTATGCAGTACAAAGGCAAGGCTTTGTTTGTTATATCTGTTCAATGTAAATGTCATTCATTGAGAGTGAGAGTATTCAATGTTTTACATACCATACATTAGATAAACAATGTAGGAGGTGTCTGCGACAGCTCCAAGTTTTTAACTGGCATTGCATTATAAAAATTGCTTTGGCTTTTCTGGAGGCCAAAGTATAACCTGGACTCTTAGCTCTCAGTTTAAACCTGTTGTCAGAAAAGCAATTTCCATTACACTGCAACACTCACCACTACGTCCAGATTATCTGTAGTTCCAATACTGAGATTGCATTAGCGTCCTAATCCCAAATCATTTTAAGTAGTGCTTTAGCCATACTTCACTCCCACTACCACTGCTAAATGTTCTACCTGCTGCTGGTGTACTCTGTGTCATGTAAACAAAGTTAGACATCATTTACACTCCAGTAAGACAGCTGATTTGCCCTGTGGGCACTGAGTAGGAAACACCTTTCCAGCGGGAGTAACAGTGCTTTTCCATTCTCTGCTTACAAAGCTCCCAGGTGTAAAATACACATCATCTACTTCTTTGTCAAAGTGTTATACTTGTTATACATTGTTATACATGTTTGTCATTGCAGGTCTGAAGTCCCTTACTCTAGTATTGTGTATGTAGTACACATGGTTAAAGACATCTTGATTGTGCTCGAAAACAATGTTTCCAGAATATTCAGCATAACAGAATAACAATCTGTATTACTTTCAATCCCCGTCTAGGCCCTGCGTTACCCATACTTCCAGGTAGGCCAGATTTTAGGGCCTCGCCCTCAGAGCCAGGAGGTTAGGAAGGTCCAGGCCAGACCGGTGGCTCAGAAGCAGGCCTCGGAGCTCAAGGCTGATCCCCAGCAGTCTTCTTCTGAGTCCAAAGCCTCCACATCCTCCTCTAGAAACCAACAGCAGGACCATCAGCCTCTTCAGCAGATCCCCCTTCCCCAAAGTGAGAGTAAACCAGGAGGCGTCAGCCATGCAGTGAGTGTCTTTATGCAAATCAGAACCTTATTTATTGTACTTCATGTTTAATAAAATGAAAGAATGGAATCCCTATGATTATGCAGCTACATAGGCTCGTTTGTCAGGATTTGCCAGGACACTAATATATAAAGGAGTCCCTCTGGCCAATGACTTTGCATATTAGGCTCCTCTTCTAAGGAGCAAGAGTTGTAGGACAATAAAAGTAGCAGTGAGCTGGAGATAGTAAGAGAGATTTGATCAATTCAAATGTGACAGTCAGTGTGGATGCTCAATGTCTTCTTCTGCAGAAAGCAGCATCGCTGGGCAGTGAGAACACTGTTGCTGGGATGGGGGTGCTGAAAAGTGGCCGTCGTCGCTGGGGCCAAGCGCTGGCCAAGACCTCAGAGAGCTTGGAGGAATCTGACCCGTCAGAAACCGCCGCTTCCAACTCCAAGAAACCCAGCCTGGGAAACACAGAGGAGGAGAGGAGCCCCAAGGAGCACCACCCACAGTAAGTGCTGTAATGTCTAAATAGAACTGGACTGGCAATTTGAGAAAAAATTTATGCATTGACACTTTTTTTTCCATTGCATTGCAAAGTGCTAAAAAATATTAGCTAAAGACATCATTGTAATGTACAGTAGTTTATAAAATGATATAGGTATATCCAATATTTTCTGCCCAGTCTTAAATATAAATGTTTAAATGCACAACACCCAGGGGAGTAGGACTTAATATGATACACTTATCTAAATAAATGAGGTGCTTTTTGGGCGAAAAACCTTCAAGTGTCAAGTGTTTTTTTAGGCCAAAGGAGCAGAAACCGCTGTATTCCTTCAGCACAGTAACTAAGCTACCCAACAACGTCAGGGTGGGTCAAATGGACTCCAGTCTCCCAGGATCAGCAGCACGGCAGCACTATCTCAGCCAGTCACGATACTTGCCAGGTAAGACTGCATTCAGCTCATTTTTATCATTGGGGAGAGGCCACCATGACGTAGTGTTATACAAACAATTTTGCCATTCTCTTTATGGTTTTGCATCATTTCCCCTCTCAGCTGTTGTGTGTTGCAGGGCCTCGTTGCTATTTTGAGATTCCTCTTAGTGATTTGTACATTATGCAAGCATTATAGTGATTGACTCAACTTCACTGATCAAGTAAAAACAACAAGGCATCATTGCATTCACTTGACGCCGCCTGATTAGCCAGTTACATTAAAATGCAGCATGGTGATTGTAATATTTGGATTTTTTTATCACAGGGTTGATCGGCAAGAATCCGACTGCTGCTGGAGATAAGGAGATGAGTGGTATGACGCTGCGGGACCTGTGGGATAACTCCTCAAACACTGTAAATAAACCCCTTGCTGCTATTGGAGGAGGATTATCTGTCACCAGGGCCAACGCAGGTAAGGACAGATGTCTAGTGTTAAGATGTTTAATGGAGTGTGCACTGGACGGGGCTCGGGTCCACTGCAACAAAACTGTCAACGTCTTTTAGAGCTCTCATAATATAGAAAGGAATTGAATGACTTACATTCATGGAGATGACTGTGTTTGCTAGAGTTATCCCTGATTAATAGGGATATCTAAATTGTCTCTGTTAATAGATATTTACAAGCAGCATCAAAAAACTTTTGTCTCATAAAATCTATGTGACCTAACACAAAATTAGGCAATAAACCTACTTATTCAGAGAAACAAATAATGACTACATTGTGACTTGCCTTATTTTGCCATGCAGTGAAAACCTGGCGACTGTCAGTGTCACATACTGTTACGTAACAAGGCTCCAAATGCTAATGATGCAGCTAATGTCTCCTGATCAGTAGTTATGGAGCCACTGACAAAGCAGTGTTAGGAGTGAGCCTAAGCGTCTGCGGCTTCAAAGATGGGAGACCTCTATAAATCATTTGTCATGTAGACAGACACACAATATGGGTACCCGCTGTTCTCCCTCCTTCTTCTGTCCCTTTCTTTCACCTTGTCTCTCCCTCTCCATTGCTTATTCATGAGACTAAGACTGTCAGTGTAAGATCAAGTGTTCCTTAAATGGCCCTCAACTGTACCCCCTGCTCATTTGTCCCAGCACTCACACACACACACACACACACCAATGTTTGTTTTGACACCACTTCCCTATTACTCATTAATATAATTTTTTGTTAAAATCAAGAAAAAAGTGTCTCTGCATGTACATGAAATTTTTCTCTCAGTGTTCTCGCCCATTTCTATTTTTCTTTCTCTTCTTTCTCTCTGGTTGCCTGCACATCTCCAACTGTGCTTTTTCCTGTGTGACTAGAAGAGAATTCCTCTAAATCTGTGGATAGCCCAGCAGAGAAAACTGTTGTTAAAGACAGAATACTGGAGAAAATTGATCTCTCCAAAGGTATTTCATTGAGATGACTTCACATGAACTGTTTAGCTGTATTTTTTCATTTGGAAGTGTAAATTTAGATACCGCTGACTCCTTTACTGTAAGTTGCTTGTCATGCTTAAGCTCTTTTGTAGTTGTAGTTAGCAGGGCAGCTGTTGCAACAAGCTTCAGGTATCCACCCAACGACTTAACATGTGAAAGAAACCCGCTGCTAAAGGCTCTGCAGGAGACAAGAGTACAAACACATAGTTTAACCAGAGAACTAAGAACTCCAGTTGCTTAATAGATGGTAAATTGCACTACAACCACAACATCTTCATAAGGGAACAATGAGGCTTTTCACTAATTACACTGATAGCCATCTGTGACCACTGGTGGAGCAGATCGATGGCATCGCTGGAAAAGTTGAATGACTTCAATCTCTTGATCTTAGTCACTGTTTGGGTCCTTAGGAGCTGTTGCATATGCAGTAGCTACTGCACACAAGCTAACGCAAATAATTACAGTAAAGCCACGTGAGAAAAGATCTATTAGGTGTGTTTACAAATGTTTTCTTCATTTGTATGTTTTTGTGTTTTAAATGGGGCTTATATGATGTTGACTAGGAGCCCATTCTGGTTGAGTACCTGGAGGGTGAAACAATACAACATCAAAATGACCCGTGAACTATGTCTTTCTTCTCTTTTAGGGAACTTTGTAAGCACCAAGTACAACCTCTCTGGCGGTTATATGCCTTCATTCCAAAAGAAAGAGGTGGGCTCAGTGGGACAGAGAATCCAGCTTGCCCCTTTGGCTGGCCAGCACACAGGTAAGGTTTTCTTTCATCTATGTAAAGCTAAAAAAATTATTTCAGATATTTTTAGATCAGATAACCTCCTCACGTGCCCGGTTATCTGGCTCAAAAAGTTGCACTCCTTGTCAGATTTTAATCTTGAATAAATATTGTTTCTATATTCTGTAAAAAGTACTGCTCTCTTTTATGGTCGTCCTGTACTTGACCATTATGCCAAGCCTAACTAGTCCTACTCCCTTTCTCTATTAAGTGTCCAGTTTCTTACTTGCAATATTTCCATCTAAACTCTAAACTCACTGGGACTATGTTTGTCCTCTTTCTTCACTCTTTCAGTCAATCTTTCTTCTTCTCCTGATAATAAAAAAGAGAAAGCAAAATCTACCAAGCCCAAGCCCATATCCAACTCATCTTTGAGTGAGCCCAATGAAGGTATTGCCATTTTATAATAGTTGCTATTAGGGGTTTTAAAGGTCCTTCTGTATTGTATTTTTTGCAGCTGCTTACAATCCCATCTGTTTCATCTTTACTTTTGATGTTTCAAAAAAGTCTTTAGTGAATGTCTTTTGCACCACATGTAAGAAGTATGTGAATAAAGACTCACCCCTGGCTGTATATCTACTGTATATATTAATGATAGACAAATTGACTGACTGCCATGTTCCTCCAGATTACGACGGCTGGAAGAGGAGGGCGGACAGGACTCAGGTGAAGGGGAGCAGCTACTCAGCCCTGGGGAAAACCTCTGGGAATCTCCTGACCAGAGCTCCCGCCGTACAGCCTGTCCATGGCAGGGTGGACTGGACATCCAAATATGGTGGAAATCGGTAGTTCAGAAAGAAGACGTACAGCTTGTTGGACTGTGCTGCCTAGTGGGACGCGTTTGGTACGTGACCAAAAGCAGAGTTTTAACCATGCTCAAACTCAAACCTGGAGGAAATTCTGTGTATAAAATTTGGTATCTTCCCCAAGACAAATCACATTTTCTAAAAACCCAATATGCAGGTAGCTGGTAGGGGACAAAAAGTAATGTCACTAAAGATGTACGCGACCCATCTGACATTCCTTGAAGAAACATTTTTCATGCCGCTGGACGATCAATTTGTTCCCTTGGAGTTTCTCTTGACAGTTGCCATGATGCTGAACCACTCCTGGTTCCAGAATCCAGTGTGAGCCAATTCTTCTGTTAGTGTTAGGATATTCTGAGTAGGATTTCAATGTGGCATATCTCTTTTTTACTCTAGTTTTTATTGTTAAGTTGTATTGTTAAGTAAGTATTATTTTACAACCGACAACAAAGCAGAAACTTTTCCTAACGGTTCCTTCAATTCTATATTCACTCTATTATAATTCATCATAGGAAAATCTTAAGTGTAAAATAATGATGCACCAATCCGACTTTCGCAGTCCTGATACTGATACCAATACCTGGGCTTTAGGTATCGGCCTACAAGTACCCATCTGATACCTGTGTAAAACGAAAAAGCTGTCTTCCTCACTGTGACGAAGAGGCTGGGAATTATTATTTAACGTATAAGGCAACATTATGCTTGACTTATTGTTCCTAACTTACTAAAACAAAACGTTCAGGTCTACTGGTGCACTGCTGACGCATCACGTAGTATGCGTGTAATTGAATTAAATAGATCTGCCCCCTTGTCACAATACCGATTGAGTCAGTATCGGATTGGTGCATCCCGAAGTGTAATGGCTATAAAAATGATTATGTGAACTTGTTCTGCATACTGCAAGACAACCGCACACCTATTTGTTATTATGCAATGAATCAACTGAACATTTTGTAAACATTTTATACTAATAAATTTATGAAAATTCATACTTCATTCATTCAAAAAGGACAAGACAATCGTTCCTATTATATAAACAAGGTACTATATTTCATCCTCAAATATACACTTACTTTATTTATTTTTTTACAAAATGACATTATGTAAATGACATATGCAGACAGGGTTGTTCCTTGGAACAGAAGATGGAGCACACATCAGATTCTTCTCTCCTTCAGGACTCCTGTGGTTTCTGGAGCAATGCCAAACTTAGCTTTCCCACCATCAGAAGACTGAAACAAGACGATAACGTTAGACTCCATGCAAAGAGCACTGCGAATAATAATACCTACCAAAAAAAGATTAATGTCCTGATTTAACACATCCCTGTTCTTGTCTTTTAACTCGGGGAGGTAGATTTTAAGTTGCATCATAATATGAGGGCTCATCTGCAGATCAACAGTGAAGATCGGACTAGAATAACTATCTCATTCATATCGAGGCAAAATTAGTCACCAAAACACCGTCAGACTAACACAATGCTTCCATTGAGGTAACCACCACATCCAGTTAGGGTCATCCTCAACAGAAATCAATGTTACTTCGCCTAGAGTCTGTTTAACATGTGTAAAACCAGTTTAGTAGGATTATGGAGATGGATACCTTACTCCAGCCATCAAACCAGCTGGCATGAACTTCCTGGATCCATAGAACCTCTTTCCCATGACGCCAGTCAGAGCTCCTGATGTAGCTGGACACCACGTGGGGGGAACATGTTAGTGGAGGACAGAAAATCAGGAAGCATGATGACCATAGAGATGCATTACTGTTCTTTGTCTATGAAGATTCTCAGTCATCCAGGTCATAGTTATCCAACGAAGGTTAAAATCAAGGGCAACTGGACGCATGGCTCAACACAGAAGGGCTAACTCCTCAGGTCAAGACTCTGCAGTCTACTTACATCTGAAGGACAGAGGACACTCGTTTGAGGACCACCAGGTGCACATTTTAGACAGAGAAGATGGATGGTTTGAAAGAGGTGTCAAGGAAGCCATCTACACCAGGGTTGAGAAGCCGTCATTGAACAGAGAAGGGGGTCTACGCCACCACTTATCCTCCACTTACAATGCTGTCCTTTCATCACTTCCCAGGAAACTCAACAAACGTAACCTATTGACCTCAGGTGAAGATACCAACGATGGTCGTTCAGTCTTGGCCACAGGTGAAGATACCAACGATGGTCGTTCAGTCTTGGCCACAGGTGAAGATACCAACGATGGTCGTTCAGTCTTGGCCACAGGTGAAGATACCAACGATGGTCGTTCAGTCTTGGCCACAGGTGAAGATACCAACGATGGTCGTTCAGTCTTGGCCACAGGTAGTCTTAACGACTGTAACGACTGTCGTCACAGCAACAAGGAACACTAACCAACCAGCGGTATCGATGACCCGGGATAACGACCCCACTGAGGTTAAATAGCTGAGTTTCCCTGCCAGTCAGTCAGAACTGAAGAAGTCCTTTGGATGAGGGACGAAACGTCTTCCAGTATCTTCAACCAAGTCCAGTTGCCCTTGATTTTAACCTTCGTTGGATTACTGTTCTTTCTCTGTTTTTACCTACTTAATCCCCCCCAACACATACACACCAAATTCAGTATATGCCCAGTTAAGTATACCAACCGAGGGACACCCAAACATTACTGGGGTCATTGGAGATCTGGTAGGCACCAAAACCTGCGAGGCCACCGAAGAGAAGACCAGCAGCAAGGGAGGGGACACTGCCTGAAGAAAAACAACACAGCAGGTCAACACCGACAACTGACATCTGCAGAAGAAGAGCATGTATATACTGTGTTATGGGTGTAACACACTATAGTTTTATAGTGCATGGAAAGAAAAGAACATCAGTTGGGATGTTAACATGCTCATTCTACTAACTTAACATTTCTTCAGAGGGTGAATGTTATTGTACCCGTCAGAGATAAAGTGATGTAGGCTATAATCTCAAATAATTTGCGCTGTTTGAAGATTTTAAGGAGCTGAGAAGCAGGTAACACCAGAACCTTCCATCACTTTCACATCTAATAAAACCCACTTACCTGCTTTCGCATAGCCAACGACTCCCCCGGTTGCGATAAGGGCTGCGTATCCATATCCTACCCAATCCACAGACATGTTGGACACCTGTCAGGGCCACAGCGCGTGAGTGAGCGAAGACAAACCCTGCGTGTGATGCAACTATTCAATTCAGACGGCTTCCTGTTGTGAACCTAAAATTAACTGTTACTTACATGTGCAAGAATACCTAAAGGACTGTCTGAGTGCTGCACCACAGAGCTGTTACAGAAAACTAGCTGAGGCAACAGAAGATATATAAACATTGTAGCATCCGACTAATGTCCCCGCCGTTAAACCGCAGTACTGCGTCTGTTTTTTATCAGAAATCGTTACATTGAAGCCTCATTGAATGGTGTGTGTGGGTGTGTGTGTGTCTTATTAGATAAGCCTATCTGCTGTTCAAACCCTAGCACAAGCACCAGAAGCACAAACTAGCATCACTGTTGTTACAACACACAGACAGGGCTTAACAAGAAAAGCTTACTGGCACAACCACTTCAGCAAATCCCACGCTTCTCTTTGTACGAGAATGAAATCTATAAACGTCTAAGAATTTCAAATATGAAAACCTCAAACGCAAGTAAAGCTACATACAACCTTGCTCTTTTTGTTTGTCCTCTGTCACTACCAGACTGTTCTCCACCGAGCACAAATTATCGACACACATAACACGCGGCAGGAGTGCTCGATGGGAAATGTAGGCTCTAGCGCTTTGGAGAGAGGTTGCTGCGTCCGCGAGAGGTGGCATTTCTACAAATAATAATAATTAATAATAAATAAAAAATAATAATGACCGCAAAAGCTATTTCAAGCACACATCAGTTCCGCTAACCTCCACGGGGTGAACTTATTTGTACATTATAATTAATAGGCTGTTATGGTTTTTGTTTTTAAAACTATAGGCTAGGCTTCATTAGCCTACTTATTTTTATAAAACGTAGAAGGCTATGCTATAGCTACATAGGCTAAATTATGGTCTTGTCTTTGTGTTTGTCCATGCAGACAGAGAATAACATGAGCAATTTGAAACAATAATAATAACAATAATAGACAGCATAGACACCGTCTGTACAATTAATGATTAATTAACATGATTGACATAATCAGTCTATTTTTTTGTAGCCTATAATTTTTCGTTGCCACCTCCTAAAACTGATTAGGTGCCCTTGAGCAAAGCTTTCCCATCTGTTTCCATACTGATTGCTCTAGCCTAGGGAACCCAATATAAGAGCACTTTTGCTGTTTGGTATGCCTTCATTAAATGTATTTTTTTCTATACTACAGGAGAGGAACAAACAGTGGGGAGGCTGAACCCTGTTTGCAAAATGTCATCCTCATCATCTCACCTGCTAAGTCCTGCCACAATTTACTACCAAGGACCATTGATTGGTCCTCCGGAGTAGTGGTTTTATTTTAAGACCACAAGATGGCACCACAGGATAAGGTCAGGAAAAGGTAAAGATGTTTTTTTAAGGCATAGCCCAACACCCCCAAGCTTGATTTGGATTTTTTCCCATCTCGGTGCTGTTAAAAATATATTTTGCTTTACATTCAGAAAAAAATGTCTGCACAGAAGCAGGACAAAACACACAATGTCACCTCTCACTGCATCGGAATGTGTATCAGTATTGGAGCCCTATTGGGTAATTACCGTGAAAATGGGCAGGTTTAGTCTTGGAAGAATGATTAAAGTTCATGAAGAAGGACAGGTGGGTATTAGTCAAAAAGAGGGTTTAGCCAAGTCCAGTGAGAGTTGTCTATGTAAGTTTTGGTCAAGCGATAAACAGACAAACTTGACATTTGCCTGACTCCTGGCCATGTTTGATATTTCACTCATTTGCACGTGTTGCCTTCGACCACCTGCTTTTTTTTTGACTGGCATGGGTTTGGCAGTTCCACTTACTGGAATGCTCACTGCTCACACATTCTCATTTGGTTTCAATTACCTGCAATATTGTCTTAAATCCACAGGCGGCGCGTCCTCGCCCTTTTCCTGAAGCAAGGTGGCGCTACAATACAACTTATCCTCCTTGTAGAGCAGCGTTTCAATACTTTCTGGTTTCATACAATGGGCCTGAAACCTTCTCACTCAAGAGACACTAATTTCATGAATTTCACGAAGCTACATTGGCCGTCTGTAGCTTGAGTGCTGGTGACGGGATAGTTACTGTCTTCAGCAGACAGGCACGTCCAGCTGGAGCGAGTCCACTGCCAAAGATCCTTTGTTGCAAATCAATCTGGGCATCTTTTCTAAGATGATTTTCTAACTTCTCCATAACTTAAGGGGCCAAGGAATTAGTCCCATAACCAAGCAGTATTACAAAACAATGAGGGAAGGAGGAGAGACTATAAGGAGAAAAGCTTTCCGGAATATTTCACAACATTTTTGGCAATGAGAAGGAGCGTGAATTACGCTATGCTCTGTTGTGTCTTAGCACATGTTTTTGAATAAGACACAGGCCAAGCAGCACCCCAAACACACACGCGCGCGCACACAAACACTTCCATCAATACAGCAAATATTTCCTTATTATTATTATTATTATTATTATTTCGTGTCATTTGTTTTACTATGAATGGCTATACAAAGTGCCTGAGGTACATCCGTTGCCGACGCCTATTAAACACAGCTCGCAGTTGGATAAACGTTGCCGGAGGCCCGTGCTATGGTGGAAGTGGTTGAAACCAAGCCCTAGACAAACAGGCTGGATATTCAACGGGGACCCCGCTCTTGTCTGAGAGTAGCCCACTCTCAGACAGCTCTGCTTTAAAACTTACTCCTCCTTTAGTGCGCAGAGCCCCAAACAATATTTCTGATCCCCCCCACCTCCCTCTCTTTTGTCCAGTCCTGGCTAGGTCTATATAGCTGCAGGTATTGTGTGTGCAGTTAAAATGTGTTCGCCTTTGAAGTCAAACATGAAGGCTTGTTTTA